GGCCGCGGGGCCCCCCAGCACCGCTGCGGGTGCCCCGGGCCAGAGGCGCGGGAGAGCCGAGCTCAGCTCCGTGCCTGCGCTGTAGAACGGCTCCCAGGTACCCGGGCCTGTGCTGATCTATAATTCAGGTGCTCGCTCTCTTTCTGTAATAGCTTTTCTATTTTTAATGGGAACTGATGGACTTGTCAAGGTATTAGAAATGGGTTTTTCTTTCCAGGTTTTCGTTTTCTTTGCTAATAATAATGTGGACTGGGAAGTTTCTGATTCACTTTAGAGCTAAAGTGCTTGGGCAGTCACGAGAGTTTCCACAAGACCTTATTTCTTCACACTTTGTGTCAGATGAGCAGATGAACGAGGACATGGACTACGTTAGCTGCAGTATGTGGCTCCCTGGCAGCGTATGAGGGAGGGTTACAGAGAGGGTCATCTGGTCGTCAACAGACTTCTGAAAACCTCGGGGAAGAGAGCTCACCACAGAGGGCAGGCGCCTGGGCTGGGCAGTGGTTTCAGGTTATTGCTAGTGCTCCAGTGTGGGGCCTCCCGTCCTTGTGGGAGAGCAGGACGGAGTGGTCTGTCAGTGGAAGACGGGGCAGAGACTTTGCAGACCGGTTCTTGCAACTGAGACCTGTTTTGCCTTGAGCCTGGATACCACCAGTCTCCGTCCTGGCTGCCCTGCAAGCAGTCCTCTAGCTCTGGGGAGATCTGCCCAGTTTAGAAAATCCTCGACAAAATGTTTTTTTTTTACATAAAGCTAACTGTAAATATACAAAGTGCTGAACTAAGTATGTCAGTTTGTCTTAGCTGCCAGAATAATTCAGATCTAACCAGCCATAGTTTATTACTCTTAAACTGTTATTTTGTTTTCTGTGTTAGTTTTGGCTAGGATAGAGTTAATTTCTTCACAGTGGCTAGCACAAGGCTGTTTTGGATTTGTGCTGAACACAGTGTTGATAGTGCGGAGATGTTTCTGTTACTGCAGAGTAGTGCTTACACAGAGTCAAGGCCTTTTCTGTTTCTCACCCCAGCAGTGAGGAGACTGGGAGAGCACAAAACGTTGGGAGAGGACACGGCCAGGACAGCTGATCCCAACCAGCCACAGGGATATCCCAGACCATAGGACATCATGCTCAATATTCAGCTGGGGGAAGGAGGAGGAAGGGGGGACGTTCGGAGTGATGGCGTTTGTCTTCCCAAGTCACCATTACGTGTGACGGAGCCCGGCTGTCCTGGGGATGGCTGAGCCCCTGCCTGCTGGTAGGAAGTGCTGAATGAATTCCTTGTTTTCCTTTGCTTGTGCACACGGCTTTTGCTTTACCTGTTAAACTGCCTTTATCTCAACCCACGAGTTTTCTCACTCCTGCTCTTGCAATTCTTTCCCCCATTCCACCAGGGGGAAGTGAGCAAGCAGTTGTGTGGTGCTTAGTTGCCAGCTGGGGTTAAACCACAGCATTACTCTATAGGCTAAAATTATTCTGAATTTGCTCTCATGTTATCCTAATCATAGTCTTTATCACTGAGATGTAGTACTTTGATTTATTTTTCTTGTTGTTTCTCAATACGCTTACCTGGGCAATAGCTATTACTAGTCAGCCAGACATAGTGTTGGGTTAGCCCAACAGCCTGGGATTTCAATGTTGTTTCTACTTTCTCTTCAGTCAGAATGTGGAGGTGTGTTCAGGCAACTGATGCATGAGGCAAGGGAAGCCTTGAGGTACACACTGGATGTGCAGTCAGCAGTTGCACTTGAGAGCTGACTTTCTGTTGGTATTTTGCTTGTTTGTTTTGGAAGCTATTACATCCTTGTTTGAATGCCTTACTGAGATACAGACTCGAGAGTTTAATCAGTAATCTTAAGAGCTATTTGATAGGCAGGCTCAGGAGCTCTTTTTTTCCTGGCTGTAAAAGCGAAACATTTGTGGGACCACTTGAAAAAGCTGCAGCCCAAATTACCAGCTTTTAATGCAACTGGAGCAAGGTAGAGACTTTATCTGATCTATTGCCTCTGGCATTTTCTCCAAAACCACTTGTTTCTCACTAGCAGAAATATCTTGCCCAACTGGGATGCAATAATTTCAAAGCAAGTAAAGGAAACTGCAGCTGCTCAGCTGAGTCAGCCAAAGGTAAGCTCTGCAGGGGAGAAGATGGCTTTTTATTATCTTCTAGTGGCAAAATTACTAAAACAGCCTGCATGAAAAGATTAGATTATAATAGTAACAAAAACATCTGTTAAATTCTGAGCTCAGTGTATGTTTAGTGCATGTTTTTTAAAAAAACCCAGACATTTAATAAAATTATTTTGAATAAAACTCAGTATTGACATTTAGTTTGGGATATTAGGAACCCACTGTGATCGTAGGAAAGACTGTTTTTAACTAATTGACTACATGGGGCATTTAATCTGTGGACAAGTCAGCTTTTAACTATGGAATACTCTTATTACCTAATGAGTGAGTAAGTCACTGTGTGTTCATTATACAGGTTACTTGTAAGCATGAATAACATCTGTCCTGAATAACATCTCTGTGAGACTGCAGTGTGCGTGGAGGGATGAATGTTTGTCTGATCTAGCTCCTGTTGGATCCACCTCATCAGCTTATTTTAGAAATGTATGAATTGTTGTGACTGATTTGTGTCTCTGAAGCCCTACTGCCATCATTAGCGTGTTTTAGAGATGAGGTGCTTCCAAGTCTGTTGGTACAGAAATCGGAGCCCAGCTCAGCTCCCTCAGTACAGACTGAAAACTTCAGAATGTTCGTTTTCAAAATATCACTTGTCCACATGCCTTAACTGCTGCCAGACAAACCCATTTCAGAGGGTCCTTGTGTTCTCAGGGCTTCTCTCAACCCACTTGCAGGAAGTTACCACTTCTTGAGTGGTTCCTGGGAGCCTGGCTGCGAAAAGATTGTCCGTGATGAAAGTGTTCCTGAAAGCGACCTTGAGACCTGCTTGCTCCTCTGTCTTCTGCAGGAAGCAATACACAATCAGTGTGCTTTTGTTTTTACAATGGCATTGCTGTGCTTTGCATACGTGCAGCACTTTAAGGATCTTGAAGTGCAGCGTAAATTCTGATAACCATATGAGGGTTTGTACCCTCACAGAGGATAAAACTGAAACTTGGAGACTTACATATAGTCACGTGCAGCTTGATCACTGAAGCAGGAGTAGTGGGTTGTTTGCTTGCTGTTTTTTTCTGCAGCAATAGGCTCTGGCTCGGAGTGAACCACCTGGGAGGCTGAGGGACATCCCCCAGAGCTCCTGACTCATGGCCTCATGTGCCTCACCACAGAATCGTACCCCAGCTCAGAAATCTCAGTGATTGTTACAAAAGCTGTCATGTTCAAGGAGCACAAAACCAGTTGTGCTTGCAGATTCTAAAGTTCTAAGTTTCCATCATAAGAGAATGTTTGCTGTGCCTTGCTCTTCCCTGCTCAAACCTTCAGCCCAGTTCTTCTGGTCACATTTGTGTCGTGCTGTACATGGCCTTTAGGTAGATTTGGAGCTGAAGTCTTGAGCAACCAGTGATGACCCAGCAGGTAAACAGCAGAGGCTAAATTTAAATGCTGTGTATAAACACATAATAAATATTTGCTCTCAGGTTGGGTTCTAGGAAAAAGCAAGAAGGGGTTGTGTGTTCTCCCTGGTTATCAGCACTACAAGAAGGGTTTGAAACCCATCTTATCTTTAGACTGTATACTGGTATTTATGTTAAGCATTGTCAGTTGTCTGTGGGTCACAGTGCTGTGAAGACATAGGTATTTTGCTTGTTGCTTCTTTATATTCAGTGATAAATAAGAGTAGTGAAACATACAGTGGGAGAGAGAGGAATGTTAGGGGTTTTCCAGCTAAGCCAGTTTTGCTGTCTTCACAGTGGTCTGTAACTGTAATCACAGTAGTGGTTAGAAGATCTGATCCCAAGGCTGGTAAGAGTTTTAATTTGTTTTGGATCAGCATGTAATATGTAGTTCCATTTACATCCTCCTTCTTAACTGTAAAACACTCAGGGTATTTTGTCACTGGAACGTTCTTTATATGATGCCATTGGTGTGTACCATTTTGCATGACAGAGTATACTGTGACCAGGAAACATAAAACTTGAAACTTAAAACCATGAGCAAAACCAGATGCACTGATTTATACTCACGAGGTCAAGCAGAGAGTGTGTAGGAGCACGGTGGATGTCAGGAGGGCATGCTGGACCTCTGGGGCTGGCTGTGTGAAGTGGTGAGTGGAAAGCTGCGGCTGCTAGGACTGCGGTGCTGTGCACCTTGTGCAGAAACTCCCCCACTGTCCCCCACTAGCAACTCTTTCCCTGCCTCCCAGAGCACCTATGCCACATGCCCCATGAGAGCCCTGTGGCTTCTGCCATGTGGGCTGCTGGGTGGAAGGTAGCAAGGACATTTTGTAGCTGAGAAGTGAGCATGTACCAGTAAGGAAGGGGTTGCATTGTTTCAGTGGAAAAGGTGTTTTTTTAACCCAGGTTACCTAGTCTCAATTTTTTCAGCTTGTGTCACTAACCCATGCTTGCTTTCATCCTTAACAGCATGAGCTTGATGTTCTTTTTCTGAGTGGATCTATCAAATGGATTGGTCGCTGTGAGTCTCCAGGGTGCACCCTGTACTGCCCAGTACAGGGACATACAACAGGGAAAGCTCAGAAGTTTGCTCTCTTCAGAGGAGCGGGACAGGTGAGTATGCACTGACAAGTGAGCAGCAGGTTTGGCATGCTGCCAGACCACTATTTCTGAGTAGTGTTCCCCAGTAATGGGAGCAGGTTCCAGTCAAAGTATGAAAGGGGAAGGTGAGAAAGAGGTGAGGTAAGAGAGTATGAAATGCCAGAACTGTGAGAAGGTGCAGGTATTCAGTGCAGACAGGGGGTGTCATGTTAATGGAAAAACTTCTGAAATTAATGTGGAAAAAAATGATGTGTCTAAAAAAAGCTGCTAAAAGCATTTTACAGCATGCTGTGACAGAGTACTGCATCTTTTGGGCTCAGCCAGATTCCAGAATAACACCATTCTGTGCATGTGCTTCATCTGAACTCTTTTCCTACTATTGTTATTCTCTTTACACAGTGATCTCATATTCAGAGTGTGCTTTTATTGCATGAGATAAATCATGGTGAACAATTAGGTATTTCAAACACTAAACTTAGGTAGATTAGGCATTTCAAATATTAAAGTGGGGAAAAAGCACAGGGAACAAGAGTATGATAATCATCAGTTAATTAAAAAAGATGTAAATGTGTTCACTTATGATTGACTGATTAGTCAAAGACACATAAAAGAGTTTCATTCATAAACCCTGCTTTGCCCATGGATATAGCTGCTGTTTATCTGAAGAACATGCTTTGGTCTCTTTCCTTTGGAACTGCTACCCAGGCTGAGTGTGTGTGTGTGTCGCTCAGAAAGGAAAAATCATCTCTTTGTAAGGGACCTATGCCTTGCCCCACATCAATGCCTTTTGTGCAGGAAGGCATCTGCTGTGATTGCTTGGGGAAGTTTTATGCTTTGAGTACATAGTGCTTTGTGAAAGGGGAAGGAGAAAAAAAGGAAATCCTTGTTTCCTTTCCTGTTCTTCAAATATAACGGAAAACAGAAAGGCGGTGTGTTTTTTTTCAAGGTATTCTGCTGATACCCTGGAAACCAAGAGAGCAGACCCCCATCCACTGGCATGCTGGATCTTTAAATGGCAAGGTGCTGAGCTGAAGGAGGAACCATGGGGACTTCTTACCAGGTGGAAGAGGTTTATTGGCTTTTAGAGGGTGTATTGCTGCCCAGGCTGCGCAGTATATGTGATGTGACATAGTCTAGGGTACAGAGGATGTGTGAAGGATCACACCTTAATTTGTGAAGTGTAAAAATTATTGCTTGCTTGAGAAAGCAGAGGGATTTTGTGTAATAGCAGGTGTGTGGTGGGGTGTTGAGGGACATCTGAAGGAGGAGTTGAGGATTCTGCTCTGTACTTCGTCTCAAGCTGTGCAAAAATTGTCCATGTGCATGTGCTACCATCCTGCCTTTTTGGGAGTGGAAGGGAACTGCAAGAGTTAATGTTTTCTGGAGATTTGTCTCTTGATGGTATACTGAAATATGCAGGAAGCTTTGGCTTTTGTTTTCTGCTTGGGTGGGTTTTTTTTTTGTCTTTCTCAGAATGAAATATTTCTTCTCTAACTTCAGCCCTGAAGAGCCACTGGGGTGAGGCAGGGGAGGGCACCACAGTTTAGCTCTGTACCATTTGGGCTGTTTGAATTCATTAGCTTGGGAGCCCCCACAAATGCCTCAGGCCATGTACCTCTTCATGCACCCAACTTGGGAGAATCTCTTACCGCTACTGCATGCATTAGCCTTCATTAATACAATTAGCATAATAGTGATTAGGATTCATTATTCCCTACAAAAAGATAAAGCAGTAATACATATCTCAGAATCAAATTCCTCAGTGCCTTGTCTTGGGATTGCTTTACTTTGGGGTTGTTTGCTCTTTATATCCTTCCATCTTCTAGAAAAAAGGAAGCCACTTAATTGTAAAACTGTTTGGGTCAAAGAAATGCACTGAGATGATCTTTCACGCATGCTAAATAGGTGAATTGATCTATGGGACCCACACAGCTCAGACAGCCACTCAACAGTCGAAACTGCAAACTTCATCTTCTTCAAGCACAAAAGCTACTTAGTTTCCCCATGTTGAAGACTTTTATAATAGCAATAAGGCACCTCTAGAGAGAACCATCTAATATTAACTCCAGGGAGTAATCATCTAATCACAATCTGGGGGTGATTTGAAGCACTCATCTGGACCAAATGCCTCACAACACCCCAGGAGTGGTTTTATTGCATGATAGCAGTACCCCATTGAGCCTTATTGCTTAATTAAAAACAAATTCCCAAGTAATTTTTTTGCCTTTCCATAAAAACACAGTAGTACATACCATGTATAAAACATCCATTAAATGATGGTAGATGCAAATTTACATTGTGAGATACAATCCGTTTCTTTACCACTTGGGGTTGAAGTTAAATGTAAAACCATTTCCTATAATCTGTGCACTGCTGTGTTTAGCAAGGAATAAATATGGGAAAGAGAGGTTCATTGTAGGATGCCTTGTTTTTATTAAGTGATATGTTTGGTCTCCTTACAAAGGAGTTCAAATTCTTGTCCATCTTGCAGACACAATAGTCAGGCAACAGTGTGGCCTCTTCTGCTTCCTCCTGGCAATTTCCTCAGTTTGCCATCATCTCAGTGCAGATCTTTGGTAGGAATCCTGTACTTCTGCCTGGGATTTCCATTTCTCTCTGAGCAAAGAGAGCATGAACAGTGCCGGTGATGTATTTGGGATACATCTAACATACTGTACAAGTGGTGCCCGGCTGTCCTTTGTGGGCTTTGTAGTCTAATGCAGATTAAGCCTGGTAGATGCAGGTTACAGCCGCTTTTGGTGGCTTTGCTGCACAGCTGACCTCTGCCTGCACTGGGTGCATGGCTGAGATCTCTCCACCTCCTGCATTTTGACTGGGACCACTGCTACAGCTGTGGCTGCTCTGCAAGGGACCCAGACTGTGGATGGGAAGAGTATGAAAGTCTTTTTTGTTCATGTTGAGGCATGCCTTAGCACCCCAACCCACAGCTCCCTTGTGCCTTTACAGAGTGCTTTCATAGCCCCAAAGTGATTCCCAAATGTAGTGCACCCCTGAGGACTTTGAGTACTGTTCATATATTCCAGGCAAAGGAAGCAATTCCAAGTTTTTAAGTGTCTGTCCAAGAATCATACAAGGAGTGCTAGATACACTGCTCAGAGATCTTGGCAACCAAAGCTGTCATTGGGCTTTCAGCTACAGCACTGAAGTAAATGGGGGGAGAAAGGATCAGTATGACATTTTCTCCAGTTTTGTGGTGCAGGTGCCTTTAATGAATTGGTGGCGATAAGCTTACAAGTACAGTTTTTTTAAATAAAAGCTGAGAATTAGTAGTAACTATTACTCTAGTTGTTCCACATGCCAAAGCTGCCTTGTGGTACCTACGAGCTCTGGATAGAGCATGGCACTTGTGTCAGTCTCACCGTCTCACCTGCTGTGGACTCCATTCAGTGTTATACACACCCTTCTGCTCTTGCCCATCAAACAGTCCTTCCCCAGGGACTGGTGGGACCTGAAGCCATGTGTCAATATCTACTGCTGATAGCAGGTTGCAGCATTCAGGGTTATAGAGGCAGCATGCTTTGTCCCATGTTTAGATTCTGTAAAACATAATTTTTTTTTTCGGTTTGGTGAACCACTTTGCTAGAATGTTTTGCTGACTTCATTTTTTATGTCCTGTTAGAAGGATGTTAAATGTTGTGGTGGAGGATTTGTTATAAAGAGGTTATGGCATCGTACTGAGGAAATGAATGAGAGTAAAACTAGTTGCCTGCTTCTGCTGCCTGAGATCAGTCTGAAAGAGTGGCAAAAAGAATAATTAAATCTGTATTTAAAAGAGTTCTATAGTAACTTGGGACATTGTCTGGTCAGGAAAGGACATGGAAGGACCTGACAATGTTCTTGAACAATAAACATTTCACCTGAAAGATCTCTGCTAGCTTTATTAGGAATGCCATTATCTTGCTTTGATCTGACTCTCTAGGACGGGCTGCTCATACAGCTGACACAAAGCAAGTAGCCAACAAAGGAAAGCCCTAATAGAATAGAATCTTAGAATCGTTTGGGTTGGAAGACCTTTAAGATCATCAGTTCTAACTGTTAACCTAGCATGGCCAAGTCCAGCATTAAACCATTTCCCTAAGCATGACATCTGCATATCTTTTAAATACCTTCATGTCACTTAACTACTGCCCTAGGTAGCCTGTTCCAATGTTTGACAACCCTTTGGGTGAAGAAATTTTTCCTATTATCCAATCTAAACCTCCCCTGGTGCAACTTGAGGCCATTTTTTCTTGTCCTATTGCTAGTTACTTGGGAGTAGAGACTGAAACCCACCTTGCTACAACCTCCTTTCGGTTAGTTGTAGAGAGCGATAAGGTCTCCCCCGAGCCTTCTTTTCTCCAGACTAAACAACCCCAGTTCCCTCAGCTGCTCCTCATGAAACTTGTTCTTGAGACCCTTCACCAGCTTTGTTGCCCTTCTTTGAACATGCTCCAGCACCTCCATGTCTTTCTTCTAGTGGGGGGCCCAAAACTGAACACAGTATTTGAGGTGTGGCCTCACCAGTGCCAAGTACAGGGGGACAATCACTTCTCTAGTCCTGCTGGCCACAGTATTTCTGATACAAGCCAGAATGCTATAGGCCACCTGGGCACACTGCTGGCTCATATTCAGCCAGCTGTCAACCCAGCACCCCCAGGTCCTTTTCTGCCAGGCAGATTTCCAGCCACTCTTGCTCAAGCCTGTAGCGTTGCGTGGGGTTGTTGTGACACAAGTGCAGGACCCAGCACTGAGCCTTGTTGAACCTCATACAACTGGCCTCGGCCCATCACTTCAGCCTGTCCAGATCCCTCTGTAGACCCTTCGTACCCTCAGGCAGATCAGTGCTCCCACACAACTTGGTGTCATCTGCAAACTTACCCAGGGTGCATTTGATCCTCTTGTCCAGATCATTGATAAAGATACTAAACAGAACAGGTGAGGGAACAGAAACTTGTGACTGGTTGCCAACTGGATTTAGCTTCATTCACCTCAAGTCGTGGGGCCCAGTTATCCAGCCAGTTTTTTTTACTCAGTGAAGAGTATGCCCACCCAAGCCATGAGCAACCAGTTTCTCCAGGACAATGCTGTGGGAAACGGTGTCAGAGGCTTTACTAAACTTAAGGTAGACAACATGCACAGCCTTTCCTCATCCGCTAAGCGTGGCACCTTGTTGTAGAAGGTTGATCATGTTTGTCAAGCAGGTCTTGCCTTTCGTAAACCCATGTTGACTGGGCCTGAGCACCTGGTGGTCCTGTACATGCTGTGTGGTGGCACGGAAGATGATCTGCTCCACAACCTTCCCCAGCACTGAGGTCAGGCTGATGGGCTGTAGTTCCCTGGATCCTCCTTCTGGCCCTTGAAGATAGGCATCACATTTGCTAACTTCCAGTCGACTGAGCCCTCCCTGGTTAGCCTCGACTGCTGATAAATGATTGAAAGTGGTTTGGTGAGCACTTCCACCAGCTCCCTCAGTAGGATGCCTGGTGGAATGGCAGGCATAGATGGTAGGGTAGGTAATTCAGGAAATGCATTTGCTGTAAGGAAAATTCAGTTGTTATGGAAACATCTGAGAAAGGCAGCTGACACAGGATAAGGCATGCACCGGATTAGCAGTATACATAGACGCAGTAAAAAGGCGAGTTCATCTAAGGTAAGGGAGCAGTTTCTAGGCACTGTCTGCTTCATAGATGGCTTTTCTGTGAGAATAGGGGAAAAAAAAAATCACTTTAAAACTGTGAGCATGTGGCTCCATCTTCTGGTACCAAAGCAAAATGTGTTGCTCTGGGCATAGAAGGAAGTGAGATTTTTATAGCTGCTACACAAGCAACAACAAAACCAACAGTAATAATAATAATAATAAATTAAAATACTTGTGCCTCAGAGCCAAGCCACAAGTTTTTAATGTAGTTTTGTGAAGCTACAAACCATTCTGCTGCGTGGGAAGAAAATTATCTTTTGAAACATTCTCTTAAATGTGTAGCCCCAGAAGTGGCTTGTCTTCCAAAGCACAGCATCGCTCTCCTACGTGAAAACAATGTT